AATACTACATACACACACACACACACACACACACACACACACACACACACACACATACATAGAAAAAACAAACAAAAAGCCATTGTTTAGGGGGATTAACTATTCTTGTGATGGCTATTTTCTTTTTTGTTTTAGGTATAATTTGCATTACATGTTCTCAAATTTAAAATTTTTATTTTATGATCATATACTGGTAAATGATTCTTCAATTAGGTACATAGGTGTTTCATAGTAGGAAAACTTGTGTTGGGAAAATATTTAAAATGCTTGAAAACAACTATTTTATGATATTTTTTTCGCTTTAGTTTTACCCAATGGCTGTAGTTGGAACTGCAAGCAGAGGAATTATAGTCTATCAACTGGAAGGTCAGCCACAAGAATACAAGAAAATTGATTCTCCACTGAAGTATCAAGTATGTGTTTGTATTCACAACTTGAAAGTATTCATTAAAGAAAACCTGAACTGTTTAATTAAATCAGTAGTTTTGTTTTAGCTTTGGTAACAATGGATAAATATTTCCTATTTGAGAGAAAGTGACATTTGGGGGGGGGGGTACAAGGTTACCCAAAACTCTAAATATGTTGTTTGATTGTACTCTTTCAAAATTTTAATTGTCACTGATGTATCTGGTAATCTTCAAAAACAATCATTAGTACTGTTTAAACTTAAAAACTAATTTTAGCAGAAAGAAAAGTCTTGGAGAGTTAAGTTTTTTTTTTTTTTTTAAAGTTGTAAGAAAAGATCCAGAAACTTTTTTAACAAACATCCAATGTATGGAAAGCATTTTTATTGACATAAAACAAATTCAAAGATAATTTCCTCTTATGTCATGTTTTACTTTTTCTATGAAATAGAGAAAACTCCAGTGTTATTGAAAATATCAGTCTTTAACTCTTTTTGGGAAAGTGTAATACTTTTAACAGTGTTTTTGCTGATTGAGTGAAAATGTGTTTTCATAAAAGGAGAGATATTGAGGTTTGTTTGTGATAAAAGTAGATCTTTTATAGTGATTTGTGGAACTTTTCTGTTTGCAGTTTTTACTTTTATAAAAGTGGAAAACTCGGTAAAAATTGGTTAGCAGTAAATGCAGTACATGTATATAATCCTTGAAAAATAAACAGTGGGGTAAAGTCACGTTAGTTTTTATATGACATGATGAAAACTGGAAGAGAGAAGTCATAATGCAATTAAAAATTGATTACCACAGTTTCAACTTACACCTTTTTCAAGGTACAGCATTTTGTCTGAGTAGTAAGAAGAAAAAATGGTTATTAAAGGATAATGTTTTGTCAATGTAATTTTAAACACAGTATCACATGTTATCCATGTGATCAAGTACTATCGTGGTTTAACTTTAGGATAAAGATATATAATGATGATTTCTGATTATAGAGGGCAGCAAAGTATTTGTAGTGTTTTGTAAATAATCTTATGACCATTGTTTTGATTTGTAGGAACAAAAATGTGTAAGTAGAGTCATTAGTATCCAATGTTCGATGAGAAATTGTTATGATAGTGAGGGAGCTTCAGTTGTCATTCATATGTCATAAACTTACTTTGGTAATTGATCATTCAAAGATTGTAATTGGTTCGATGATGTCACATAAATACGTCCTCCAGTAAAATCATTGCAGCTGGTGTTTTAAATATGGTTTATAAAAGCCAGTTATTGTGTTTGTAATATAATTAGTCAGCCATAAATTAAAACTACCATGATTGGCATAAACAGTTAGAATACAAACTAGCATACTTGAGTGAAAAGTGAGCACAAAATTTTCTGAGTTTCTGTTTCATATGTGAATTTTTCACAATTTCTGCAACATTTTAAACATAATTTATCGTATATCATTTCTTGTTTATGTAAGGTATTTTCCAAGATATATTTCTTGTATAATTGTTGATCACAGTTTACATGTATTCAGCTTTCTGAAGTTTAAAGAGAGAGTGTTGTGCCATCAATAAATAAGGCTGAATATAGGAAAATATTTTTTCTCTCTAACAGAACCATGAGTAAATGTGTTTTCAAATATATTTAATCAAAATGCTATACCTTATATTATTGGGATATTAGTTCCTGATTTTTGACCATTGGCTGATTAAAATTAAAAACACTTCTCAACATCAGCCAGAAAAAATTTCAGAGTATCTAATATCAAATAATATTTTGGAGCCCTATGTAGGCCTTGACCTCTAACCTGTGGTTTTCATTAATATTGTAAACATAACTTTGCAATACAGAATTTTTGTAACAACATTCTGAATGTCACTACAGTGTTGAAACTTTATAAGTTATTTATACTATACCTGTTATTACAGATCATTTCTTGACACTTGCACAGATTACAGAATGTTTGGAAAAACTGAAAACTAATGATCACTTGAGCAAATTGTTTTCTATTTAGCTTAAGACATTGTTTCTGTTTACCCTTCATTACCACCTGATGAAGAAATTATAGCTTGTTTGAATATCATCAAGAATTCAAGAATAATATTGACAAATTAAACATACCAACATTCCTCTTTCTATAATTGAAAGCTCTCCAAGATTTATTTTAAAAAATTTCTTTCCATTTTAATACATTTTTTTCTCAAAATCAACCGTGTATCTATGGGTAGCTAAATTGTTGTTATTTTGGCTATGTTATACATACATGTTTATGAGCAATTGGTTCTTTTTCAGTGGAAATCATTAGAGCTGTTTGATTAGTGGAATTTCATAATTTATTAATAATAGGACTCAGTAATTAATTACATTCAACTCTCTGATTATTCTAACATGAGACTTAGATAGTTTGAATAATCAAGAATAATAATCAGAAATACTAATTTTGCTTAGTTGATTATTTTTGTTAGTCTCACACTAATCACTTAAGCAGAAAACTTGAATTTATTGAAAATAATAATGAGAAATCATAATGGCAATATTTCGATTACTTGGATAGTCAGAGTAGTTAAAAACATTAATAACTGGAAATACTAATATTGATTAGTGGATTATTTTTTGACAGTTGATTTAATTGTAATTTCAATCTTATCTTTTACATAATTCTCATTGATCTAATTGATGCTCGTTGGTAATCAATTATATCAAGTTAATTGTCCAACTTTTGAAATTGTTACACAACACTTCTACCATTTGGCTTCATTACATTGATAACGTCTTTGGAATTTAAAATTATGGTCTTGGGGATTTAATCAAATTCTATACCTTCCTAAATGTCATCCATTTATGAAATTTACATTGAACATTTCATAAACAGTATCAAACAATTTTTCAGTTTTCTAGATGTATTTATAACTATAGAAGTTCAGAATATTTTAACTAACATTTATAACAAATCTAAAAAAAAAATTTTCACTTTTATTCACATCATCTGCTCTCTGAAAAACAAGGTGCAGTTATTGGTTACTTACATAGAATTGACAACATCTTCAACAGTGACAGTAATGAGAACAAATCTAGACAAGAAAACTTATCTACTATTCCACAATGGAGATCAGTCTAACTTCATATTTTGGCAAAAATAAAAAAGGGACATCTCCAGAAGCAACCTAAAGATCTAAAACAGTTAACTAATTATACCCTGCACTAGTGAAAGTTTTTAGAATTGAATTTGCAAAGTCATTAAAAAAATCAAGACTGAGTTGGTTCATACTTAAATGGATTCTCACATCATCATCACAAAATCAATCAATGCACAACTGTAAAAGCTAGTTTTATTGCATCTGCGCCATTAAATATGAACACAAAGTACACTGGCAATATTTTTTACACCAGTGGTACCCAACTGAGGTTTTAAAGAATTACTTGTGCATACTTGTAAAAAGTTTGACTATTAATGTGTAAAATATTTAATTAGCCTAGTGTGATTATCAGGGTGGTCCATCTGGTAACACGAAAAGTTGTAGGTGATTTCTGAATTTCTTTTTATCAGAAAGTTAAAATTTGATTTTGAAAGTTGTCCAAAATGGCCCAGAATGCACCTGAAAACACACACAACCCCAGAGCTTTTGGGGCACTCCTAGTCCTCCAAATCTTTGGCTAATAGATTTGTTTCAGTCAAAATTATAGTTGAACATCAACCAATGATAGTGTAAAGAATATCTTTTTTCTTGACTTTTTAAAATATATGCATTTTTAATTATTATTATTTTTTAACTATAGTCTTATTAATGGTTTAGTTGCAATGAATTTCCAAAAACAAAAACAAAAAAAAACTTAAATGATTTTGAATAGTTGACTATTCTTCTTCAGAAGAAAAAGAACAGTCAACTATTTGGCAGTGCTTGAGTTTTGGTTTTTTTTTTAGAAATTCATTGCACATTTTGTGTGTGTGTGATCTGTTAGTATAACTTGTGATTCTACCTATATTTCATTGATTTTATTAACTCATGTAATAAATGAAATATAAGTAGAATCACAAGTTATACTAACAGATGATGTAGAAGTTTTATTACTCTTACATTTCTGTGTTATTTCACATTGTTAACAATAGAACAAATATTATTGTTATAGATTGTTTTTCAAAATTTTTGAATTTTTAGTTAATTTCTTTCAGGCACATAACATAAAAGTAGTAACTTTATATTTTATATGAGAAAAAAGTCTATTTTTGTATTTATATTTCTAACATTAGTCTGTTTCAACTTTTTTTTGAAAAATTAAGACAGATATATATATAGAATGATTTTTCTTATTACTTTCTGTTTGTAGCATCGATGTGTTTCCGTGTTCCTAGACAGTAAAGGAGCACCAAGTGGTTTTGCTCTGGGTAGTGTTGAGGGCAGAGTAGCCATCCAGTATGTTAATCCACAAAATCCAAAAGACAACTTCACATTTAAATGTCACAGATCAAATGGAACAACCAATGGATACCAAGATATTTATGCAGTATGTGATTTAATAAAGCTAATATTTGGTTATATATCTCGTCATTGGTCAATATATAATAAACGATCATACGTATCTATATTGGAGGTTTTAGATTTCTTTAGGAAACTTGAAATATTATAGTAGGTTGAAAGTCTCATTACAATGTTAGATATGTATTACATGCTATCATTTTTGTGTTTACATTTCTTGCAGGGAAAGGAATTAATAATGATGTTCTGACAATGTAGTTTGACAGTTCTGGGTCTGTTCAGAGTAATATGAGGGAATTTTTAAACACTTAAAATATATAAAAGTGATACTAACTACAAACTGAAGTGAATGATTGAATAAAATAAATTAATTGAGGAAGTGGATCAAAGTTTATGAGGAAGTCACTTGTTCCATAACTTATTTCTATTTTCCCTTCAAATTTCCAAGATACAAATCCATTTGATTGTGTTGATCTTTGTACTTTCTCCCACTAACTGATGGTTGATATTGCAATATCCAGTTTTAATGACTATTTTTCTTTATTCAAATGTTTCTCTAGGCAGTTGAAATGTCATCTTGCTTTGTGTTCTTCTGTATCTTTTTACTGTTATATTTTCATCTTTGGCTTAATTCTGATGTTGATGCTCTTTACTGAACATTGAACACGGGTTAGACTTTGAAGACCCATGGGTCAGTGCACTGTTTTCTTTCTTCTAATTGTATTTAGTGATTTCTTTCTTGTGTTAATTTAACCTAGAAACACAAACAAACCTTTTTCAGATTCAGTTTGGATAACATGAGTGTTTCAAGGTTGTTGTATTATAATGTTATTATTTTTTCATGTATAAAGCTCTTGGGTACAGAAATATTTTTTTTACCTTCTCTCTGTTCATATTGGTGTTTCCTAACGTTGCTGCTACAGTATTAAATAAAAAGTTACTTTTGTGGACACATTTGATCCTATTTTTTTTTTTGCACTTATTATTCCACACTATTGCCCAGTTTTCCATTTAAAAGTTAATAAATTGGTATACCTGCATAAGTTATCATATTGCCTGGTTTGTCTTTAACTAGCTTGTAATGTTGACTAAAAAGATGTTCTTTAAAATTTCAGTACATCTGACATGCTGTTATTTAATACATGTCACACTTTGCACATTGTAAGTTAACCTTCTAAATACATAATTATATTTTTTACGTGCAAACATCTGTCAGTAGGCCTGATATGACATTGACAGAGTAATCAGAGTCCCAATTATTACGTGTCAAAAAATGAATATTATGCAGCCATCAGTTTGAAATTATGCAACATAAATTGATGATATAGAGAAAAAAAATTATGCATTACTTATGCAGCAAAATTGAAAACTTTGTAACCCTTACTTAAAGCAAAAATAGGTAAAATAGTAACATTTAAGAGGATGTTAAACATAATTAAAGTAGTTCCATCATCGACAGCAATTTAACACTAATTTTAGGAAATAACAACAACAAACACATGCTTACTTTAGAAGTCTTTTTGACATGCCATAAATAAAAAATATCTGGCAAGCAGTTACCACTTGCCAAGAAACACACTAAGTTGAAAGTTTAAGTGTGGTAATACTGACCAAGAAATTCAGATTTTGCCTATACAGTCAACCATTGATTATGTGGTCAACTATAAACTATTTAAAAAATGTTGCATCCTTGTAATTGTATTAAAGTTAGGATCTCTATAATTTAGATGTACGAGTTTATTTCTTGTCATTATTTGTTGTAGTACGTTTAGTCTACTTTTTGTTTCTTGTTGCAAATGTTGATACTTATTTCATGGGTTTGTATACATACAGTGTACTGTTATGAACTTCTCATCATCTGACTTTATTATTTTACTGATGTAGTCCGGTTTTGATGGTTGTTTTTCTTGATGCAAACTACTATACTAATTTTGTGATAAAAAGTAATATTATTATTATTTTTACTTTGTATACCACATTCTGGTTTTTATTCTTAATCATATTTCAGTCATATACTGCACACTCTTTTGATGAGTCTAACCTATTTTTGCTTTCATATTCTTTGGTCATTTGACTGTTATCCTTCCCTTTTGTTAGCCCTTGTTTTATTAAGTTTTTGTTGCCTTGCTTGTGTAACCAGTATAATTTGCATCCGTGATCAGTCTCCTTGCTTATGGCTAAATCTGTCTATATTCATTGTGCACATGGTAGACTGTAGCTAATTTTTACTTGAATTTAAGTTGGTGTACCTGAAACTTTATATTTCTATACCACGTATTTGTAATTTTGTACCACCTTGATGTCTAAAACGTTTTACTTCATATGCCATATTCTAAGATACTTATCTCTGTGATACTTACCTTTTGATATTAACAAGCATATTCCTATTTTATCAAATGTTAGTGACATTTAATACCTCCTACTTGGCTTTAGTTTCTTAGCTATTATGTTATGGTTTTCTTGAATATAGTGTACATTGTATTTTCAAGATCTTTTTTTTCTCCCTAAACAGATCCTCTGCTTACTTCTTTTCTATAATATCATATACTTGGATTATATTATTAAGAATGTATAATAATATGTCAACCACACTATATCTGCTTTATCCAGTGCTGTGTAGGCCTTTCACCCAATATCGGGGCTCTTCAGGCTGGCTGGGATATAACAAGCATAGTAGTGGTTGAGACACTATTTAATTTAGCATATTGCCTGACAATAATGTTATAATGTGAAATGGATTAAGTTGTGGAAGTATTTGTTAGGTTCCATGGTTATTGATTTGCAAAGGCAAATATTTCAAATTTACCTACTTCATATTTCCTTCTCCTGTTGATAAGTGTTTATGGTTTGGCTACTCCATTTCTTTAGATAGATGCTACTTTTTATTGCTTGCTCCTGTTTTTAGTTGGGATGGTTTGGTTGTTTCCATGTGTGCCTATTGGGAGAGTGCGTCATCACCATTCTCAGAAGGATCTTAATTATTTGATCAGGTTGCACCTTCAATTTAGTAAGACCCTTTTTATCAATAAGAAAGCTTTTTTTGAATATATTTATTATTTTTTAAATTATTTATTTAAATTATGTTTTATGCCAAAACAAAGATTTATTTTGCTTCCTGTGAAATTTTGTATTAAACTGGCTTTTTTTTTTCATGTAACATGTGTTTTTCAAATGCAAATGGTTGCCAAAAAGACTACAAAATAGTGTGATATAGTTTGCTTTATCTGTTCAGTGTTCTAGGCTACTGGCATTTATTTGCCTGTAACTAATTACAATATTTTTTTGTTATGTTCTTTCAACATATTTAGTACAAATATTTGTAAAAGATACATAGCTGATTAATTGGTGCATTGCAAAAGTAAGATTTTCCTATTATAAGTTTACATTTCTTATGCAAACTCGTTAATTGTAATTGCTTCTTGCAGTTGCAAAAATGATACTTTTTATTATACTTTCAGAGCTTACTGTATTATATGTAGGTATGAAAAATTTATCTTAAATATTAATAACAATTATATGTAGTAACTTTAATTCTTGGTAGTTGCTATATTTGTGTTTTTGAAAATAAATCAAATATAAATAATGGAAATGAGATCACTAAAGGTCACATTTGTAATTTTATATTCTTGCATCATTTTGAAGCATTTCTATAATGTAATCCCAGTTTGAGTAGCACTAGGTAGAAGTTTTCTGAAGTGATGAAAACTAAGACTAGCGAGATTGAATCCCATATCTTACCTACTGCAAATGTTTTTACTCTACTGATTGGTAACTGCAGAATTTGATGAATTCTTGACTTATGTCGTTTATCTTGATGAACTTGGAATCCATTTATTGCAATTTTTATTTGCTTGAAGAAATAATTTTTAATTGTTTTAGCTACAGTAATTTTTAGAGTAGCACATTGATCTATGAATTTACAAATTTTAACCAATGGATAAGACCATAAAAAATTCTTCAAAATTGGTAGTAAGTCAGTAAAATAAATTTTAATCTTTGTTTTTTTCCAACAGTGAAAAAATAGAAACTTTTTATGTTGTATTTTTAGTGAAAAACCACTGACAACTTTACTTGATTAGTCAAGCTAACCCTACCATAACTGGGGAGCACCTTTCTGATGTTGAGTGTACACCTGCATATCAGATTTAAAAATTTAAGTTAAAATAATAATTTTAACTCTATTTCAACAATTTTTAATGTAGTAACATTTTATAACAATATTTCCCCTCTCTTGAAAAAAAAAAGAAAAGAAAAAAAGTCAAATTTGCATTTCTCTACAGCTATTTTCCAAGAAACTATCATCTGTCGAGAATATAATTATCCATATATATTTTTTTCTCGTGTGATTTTCTTTCTCTTTTACTGATTTTGTTACTGCAGCCTCTTATTCACAACCTTGTGATCTGAGGAACTACTAATGAAGCTCAGATTTTAAAATAATTGTAGGCAGAGTTTGAATACTTTTGGAAAAAGCAGATTGTAAACTATTTATGACAATGTAGAGAGGATAAAGTGGCATGAAAATTAATTTTAAGTTTAGCATATTCAAGCAATGCACATAAGTAAACTAATTTATTTAATTAAAAGAAATTATATGCATTAGATATAGATTGACCTCAACCAAAAACGTGGTAAGAGTAAGAATCTGTGTTGTTATTTAACAGTTGCTAGTAAGTATCAGTAAGTTAAATATATATATTTGGTTAATTTATGGATGGAAAAGGGTTAGACAAAATTAGCAATGTTTATATATATTGTAATCTTTGATGTTGTTTTTTTTTTAAATGAAATAAACAGGTTAACGACATAGCATTCCATCCAGTTCATGGAACTTTAGCAACCATTGGGTCAGATGGACGTTTTAGCTTCTGGGATAAAGATGCACGCACAAAGCTTAAAACATCTGAGCAAATGGAACAAGCTATCTCTCGCTGCTGCTTCAATGCTAGAGGAGAGATATTTGCTTATGCTGTGAGCTATGACTGGTCAAAGGTGAGATTTTTATAGGAGATGGCTGTTTCTGCTCTTGTTAGTTGTAGCATCATAAAAGTAGAAGAAAACTCTATGGGAGGTATTTCAACGTATAAAGCAATAGGTTATTTCACTCGGATGTAGGACACAACATTTTCAACACATATTGTAATTAATAGAATTATTTTGCTATTGTTGGATAGACTTGTTTTTTTGTGTTACGTTGTATTTTACAGTTTTATATGTAGAAACTCATGTCGGAATTTATTCATCAAACTATTGTTGTTAACCAAGCAGTTTTTCTATATTTTAATTTTGTTTCTAAACACTGCTTGATACAGTCCATGTTATGGCATTGTGCATTATAGTGTTTAAAGTGGTATGATAATTTTCCCTAGGCTTTCATCAGTGTAGCAGCAGTGCAACATTGTTCAAATTTCACAATGACAAGGCACTCTTCAGTGTTTTTCCCCATTTTAATGTTTAAGGAACATGAATGCTAACAATTTCAATTTACAACTGTGATAAGTGACTTGAAGGCTGCAGCCTATTCGTGAAATTCTGCTGTATGGAGTTTTCCAAGGAAAAGGACCATGCTTGGCTTGTAGTCTTGAACTCTTCTTAAAGCCTTGAATAATGCCAAATGTATTAGTTAATCTTCACAGCATGCTTAAATGTTTTATGGAATTATAAGGGCTTGCTAATTTTGAATGACCAGTTCAGAAATCCGCTATAACACATCCAGTGGCATTTTATGGTTTCAACATGTTATTCAATGGGTTGAAGTGTTAATAGGTGGACTAAACTGCTTTAGTCACTCATCAGCATTGGATCCAATAATGATTTGCCATGAAGGTTCGTGAGCTACATTCCTTGTGACATTTTTATTCCAGTTTAACATCTGTAGTAGCTGCTGATCATATATCAAGCAGGTGGTAGCACTGCCTTACATATGTAGGGATGGCTTGGATTGTTAACTGAAATGGTATTTTAAATATCTCCTCAATAGATCATCAGAACTTTACAATACTTTACAGTGATTCCTTTTATAACAATATCTATGTAATGACTGAGTCATAAGTTCTGAGAATGTCTGTAAACATCATAGAAAAAAGTTTGAATTTCTTGTTTGAATTTCTTGTGCTTCTTTTTTATTACATGATAACTTAAAAACCAAAACAATTGTGTCAACCAATTTCACTGAGGTGACATAGTTTCAAATGGAATATTTGCTTTTATAAGTATTATTAACTAGTAGTAATTGATAAAATAACATAATTCTAGTGTAAACAATGTTATCATTTATTACTTGTAGCTAGGTTTCTTACAGAAATTTAGTGTTCCTTTAAAAAGCTTAAGTACAGGGTGAAAGGAATTACCAGCCAATAATAGATAAACAATATATAGTACAGTTAGAACCTCATTGTATTTAGAAGTTGGTTATAAATACAACCTTCATATGTCTATTGAAACACTGTGTTAAAAAAAACAAGTAAAGAAAAAACTTTTTAAAAAAGAAAGTAAATGTAGGGATGGCTAATATCAGTCCTTCAAAACAATGCAAAACAAGATAGTAAGGATGTTTGTTAACATTCTACTACACTGTGTGCCTGTGCTGTTAGGTATGGATAATGCAAATGACATCTGTACTATCTTGTTTACATTGTTTTTGAAGGATTGATATTAGGTATCCCTATATTTACTTCCTTTTTTTGAAAATTTTTTCCTTTACTTGTTAACACTATGCAATGGTTTATGTAGGATTCTCATGCAAGTTCCCTGAGGACAGGTCCTTTTTTTTTTACCTATATATGTGTTGCCTTAAAACTTTTTGGTAATACAGAGAACGTTTGTACAGTTGATGTTAGAAGTGCATGCTATTTTAACTGCACTTTTTATCTTTAAAAATTATTATTATTAAAGCACAATTTAATTTTCAGAAATAAACATTAACATAGTATCAGTCAAGAAACGTTTTTTTTAGTTTAAATGTTTTTTAATGTAGTGTAATCAGTGTTAATTTTTCAGTTGACACATATATTATTTATATTATGAACATAGTATTTACATTATTACATGGAGACATCAAAACAACTTTGATAATGTTGTCCCTTCACAACTTTTCAGTTTTATTAGGAGCATGTAAAGATCTTCTAAACTTACCCAGTAATGATAGAAATGTCTCATATTCATTAATTTTTTTTTATTTAGGGATGTTTTTTGGGTCAAGGAAAATTTCTGATCAGAAAATAAAATCTTTTACTAATAAATTAATTAAATATATCAACTACTGAGATCAATATCTTGTTTTTCTTTAAAGGGTCATGAATACTACAATCCACAAAAGAAGAATTATATTTTTCTGCACCCATGTTTTGAAGAACTGAAGCCTCGTAACAAGAAGTAATTTTGCAAGTGTCAAAGACAGATTCTGTCGAATACTGCTGTGTTGTATTTCTGTGTACTGGTTTTGTTCTTTATATATTTGACTTGTATCTGAGTCAGTAAAAATTTACTGAAGAAAAGAGAGGATGGTGTTTTAAGTGATATGTGTATGTCATTAACTAAAACTAGAAATTATTTCACAATCATTATGTTTTATGTTTGTTTTTGAATGTTTAGTAGTTTCAATTGCATCTCAGAATAATTTGTATGTATGTTCATTGAACCAGAAATGATGTCTTTGCTACTGCCAATTTGTGGCTAAAAGTTATTTAAGTGAAAACAAAAGATGGAACTGGAAGCATACTCTTATGTGTTTTTGTTGAACTGCTCTAGAAGTATTTCAAAGAAGAAAAGAATGTGTATTTTTCACTTTCAGAAATTTAATCTTGGCTGTTTACTTTTGTCAAAACAAGATAGAGACAAAGTAGCTTCTGTTACAAAATAATTAGCCCAAATTAGTAATTTTAAAATTAATAAAAGGAAATATACACTAAATAACTGAATGTGATCAGACTTACACATGTGTAAGTTTACTTTTAATATACACATGCAGAATAATAAAATATAGGTAGCTGTTCTCTGTACAGTGTATCTGCTTACAGTGTGTAGAAGAAATAGTGTGTGTGTGTATACATATACACACACACCTTTCATTTTAACCTTAGGTTGTTTGGTCTTTGTTTCAAATTTCATGATACTCCAGATTTTAATGCATTAATTTTCAACAGTCTTCATACAAATATTCTGAAGTAGCTAAAAACTTGGTTTCATAAATGAAACCTGATGTTACAAATCTACAAAAATCTGAAGAAGCATATAGTACTATTCTAGTGATCATTCTGGTGGTTTAATCTTTTTAAGCTTTATCACTGTGTGTAATATCACATATAGCAAATGTGTGAAATCTAGTATTAGAAATGCTTTCATTTGTGTAAAGATTTTTGTTAGTGGTATTCATACAATGTACATATTAAAGATTGTATCACTAGATTTGCAATTATGAGGAATAAAGCCAAGTATAACCTTTTATACAAAAGATGTTTGTCTAAGGTATTAGTGCCTTTGAAGTGAAGAAGACTAAAACTTCTTTGATTGCATTGTGAGGAATATACAAAGTACATAAAATATAATTTTAGGTAAGTTTGAAGAATCAATACGAAAAGTATTCATATCTAACACAAGCCAGTAAGAAATGTTGTAAAAAAAATTATGGTGTTTCTATGGTGTTCACTGTCATTAAAGGAAACTGTTATTTTCCCTTTTATAGGTGAATTATAGGGTTAGTAAAATGTCCAAATAAGTCTGTTTCTTTTCGTATACTGTTAGTATATATCATTTACAAATGCCTCTCAATCCAATAATATACACAATATTGGTTGTTTATTGAAGATTAGCTTCTCTAAACTGCTGTTGAGTTTTATAAGAAAAATATCTAAGAATGTTAAATTATAGGCTTTCAAACATCATAGAATATAATAACATAGTGTAAGTTTTTTTTATGGGAAAAAGCATGATTCTCAGACACTTCATATTTTGTGTGTTTTATTACAAAACAAATACATAACAGATCACCATATCTTGAAAGTAGATCTTTTGTTTAATCAGTAGGAAATTCATTGCCCATTTGTGTTGTTTCCCCATATTGTGGTTTTGGTCAGTTGTAAAACCTTGATATTTTTCTTTGAAATTACTACACATATTTAATTGATTGATTTACATTACTCAATCTAAGTACATAAGAAGTAAAAGCATTAGCTTCTTGTTTAAATGAAGTAAATAGAAAAATGTTTATTGTGGAGTAAAAGATAATTGCAAACACATACATTTCAGAAGAAACATATTTTGTTTACTCCAATCTAGAAAATAGTTCCACTAAAAGTATTATTTTAATTGGAAAATATATTGATATAAACTAACTATAATGTTCACCAAAAGTCCACGTTCTTGATTGAGAAAAAATGAAGAACTAGGATGACTCAAAAGGTTTCCTCATTGAGTTAAATAGATTATTTGTTTTCAAAGGGTTGTCTCCTGGTTTCAAAGAGTCAATAAGCAATATGGCTGCATTCTCAGGAGGTTGATATTTTTGGGTCAAACAGATTCTCCCTAAGCTGGTTATCTATCCATGTTCAAAGAAATATAAATGGTGAATAAATGAAACTATGACATTGTAGAACTCTAAACTAAACATTTTAGGAAAGGAAAAGTGGTTTGTATATGAGCCAAATTACTTACTCTGGAATGAAACCAGATGTGATAAGGTACATCATGTCTACCATGGCTAATTTGCTATTGTTTTAAGTGTACATAATGATTTTTATTTTTTGAGCAAATGAATGAGGTAAATAAAGGTTGTCAGTAAATTTTTTACATTATTTCTCTTTTGGTTTATTTGTAAGTGCAAAGCTGCACAATCTGTGCTGTGCCCATTAATGGTGTTGGACCTCGATTTTTAGGGTTATAAGCCTGGAAGCTTGCTGTTGAGCCACTGGGGTAATTTGTATTTAGATAACTTGTTATTGAATGGAAATGTCATTCATTGAAGATTGCCCATAGTCTTTTAGCTTTTACAATGCATTGCTCCGAAATGATACCTTGTTCAACACATTTTAATGGAAAATTATACATAAAATCTTATAAGTAATTGCTTATTGTCATGTGTTAGTATTAAATATGACCGAATTTTGATGAAACTGTTAATTTTAACCTCAGCCAGATCTATTGATCTAAAACATTGAGTACACCATTGCACCCTATATAAATTTCCCATGTTCTTCAAACAAACTAATATTTAAGGTATCATGAAAGCTTGCATGCACAACTATAATTGAACAGGCTTACTGGTTGCAGCCTATCTCTGAAATCCAGTGATGTTGTGACCAATAGTTGTGTTAGTAGTCATTTACTTTAAAGTCCTGGGTGATAAATTTAGTGTTAAATTTGTAGTTTCATCTCGCAAACTTTTCAAAAGTTGTATATGCCAAGGAATGATTACTTTGTGGTAGCCACAGGAAATCCAGTGAGCTAATTTCTTATGATATTTTAACATCAGGTGGCATTCTTTAACAGCTGCTAACCTTTATAAAACTTTTGGACTTTCACCCTATGAATATCAGACGCAAGATCAGGCCCATTTCTACATGAAGTGTACTGCCCTAATAATTTTTGTTATATTGTTTATATATGGAGCACCCTGCCAAAAACTGCTAGACATCTGATGAACATTTGGCTCAACTAACATGCTCTGTAAAGGAACTCTGATATCATCTTGGTATTGTAATAAGTTGGCAAGCAACGATTTATAATCATAATAAAGTGATTTGATTTTGGGGGAGCATACTAGTTTCGATAGAACATTGGTCTACTTCAAGTATGGTCTGTAGCTAAGCAAAAGAGGATTTATTTACAAGTACAGACACAAAGGATACAATGGTATATGTAAAGGAAATGATGTCACAGGACTTTAAGTAATGGTCAAATATACGAGTGGTGAATCAACTTAGCTCGTACATTTGACCTTTATCTATAATTCTGTCGCCTGGTTACATCATTTCTTATACATAAACAGTTGTGTCTTTTGTCTCTATCTGTAAACCCTGTATTGCTTTCCTTGCAGACCATACCAATGTTCTGTTTAAACATGGAGTATGCCCCCCAAATCACTTTATTATGTTGATAAGTTGTTGTTTGACAACTTATCATTATACATGTACTTGCGTAGTGTGTTTTTTATTCAAGTACCTCATTGGTTTGTTATTAACTGGTTGATTCCTCAAAGATGTATAGTCTATGTTTGTTTAGAATTTCGCGCAAAGCTACACCAGGGCTATCTGTGCTAGCCGTCACTAATTCAGTAGTGTAAGACTAGAGGGAAGGCAGCCACCCACCGCCAACTCTTGGGCTACTCTTTTATCAACTTATAGTGGGATTGACCGTCACATTATAACGCCCCCACGGCTGAAAGGGCGAGTATGTTTGGTGTGACGGGGATTCGAACCCGCGACCCTCAGATTGCGAGTCAAGCGCCCTAACCACCTGGCCATGCCGGGCCTTGTCAAAGTTTTCTACACTGATAGCGGTTTTATTTTTATGTGATCCTTTGATAGAAGTTTTCACTGCTTAAAAGCATTTGTCTGTAGTTTCGAGCAATATGTCCTTTTAAGCAACACAACCCTATTTCGTGTTAATTTCCAATACTCACAATGTTACTAAATGGAATTGTGTGCACGACTAATGAATGGTAGAATCTTGGGATACCATGAAACTAAAATGTCTCTAAAACTTGAAATGAACATAGGGAAGAACATACAAGCATTGAAGAAACCTATACTTTGTTAAATGTTGTTTGTAATAACGAAAAATAACACGTAACGTGTTTTTATACCGTTTACATTTTCATACTTTATACATAATAATTTCACCTGCAATGTAATAATGGTGATTATTTACTACGTTATAACATTTAATGACAAACAACAAAAATAAATATTATTAATGTACTGTACATTTGGTAGTCGAAAAATATAAAGTGTTAGGTAAGTGAGTGCTTATCTTTGACTCAAAACATTCGCAAACGTTTATGAGAAGCTTCTAAGTTATGAATAAACTTAATGTTTCTTTTGCACAGAATCATTTGTAAAATTATGCATAATAGCTTCCTTCTAACTACGTTCCAGTTGTTAAGTGCAATAATTTAACAAGGTCGTCACTTCTTTGGACCACAGACAAACATTCATTCCACGAGCTGTCTTTTCTACTTGGAGGTTAACAGTGAAACCAGTATCCTTAGCATAACCATGGCGTATTCAAATTTACTGAACAACCAATTGCCCCTTTTCTCAGTATAATGTGAATACATACGCAAGTACCACTCTATTCTACATCGTAATAACTAGACAAACATCGTACTGTAAAGTCGCGTTCTGGCCATGATTGATAAACCTATTTCAGTACCATATATTTGATAAATATTTCAATACCGCACATTTGATAAACTATTTCAGTACCATATACTTGATAAACCTATTTCAGTACCATATACTTGATAAATATTTCAATACCGCACATTTGATAAACTATTTCAGTACCATATACTTGATAAACCTATTTCATTACCATATACTTGATAAACCTATTTCAATACCGCACACTTGATAAACTATTTCAGTACCATATACTTGATAAACCTATTTCAGTACCATATACTTGATAAACCTATTTCAGTACCATATACTTGATAAACTATTTCAATACCGCACACTTGATAAACTATTTCAGTACCATATACTTGATAAACCTATTTCAGTACCATATACTTGATAAACCTATTTCAATACCGCACACTTGATAAACTATTTTAATAACTCGCATTTGATGAACTGTTCAAGTAAAGTAATTGTAAATCTAAGATCGTTAAGGAAAACCTAATCGAAATTTCAAACTTTTTGGAGTCTTAATTTAAATTTACAAAACAACAATAAAATGATTTTGGCAGCAAGAAGGCATTAAGGTTTTTCCAGTTAGAAGGTTTTACAAATGTATTATGGTTTTCCCGTTAGAAGGTTTTACAATTGTAAATTTTGTGTACGATTTTGTAAGTTAAGAACTTAAAATTACGATAGAAATAAACAAAGTAACAGATCGAAGATGTATGAAACTTAAATTTGAAATATATATAGATTGAGTAAAAGCTATTTCTACCGTATATCGAACCTCAATGGGCATACACAGCTTTGTCATACATATCCAGTTATACAGTTCTTTTTATGCTCTCTTTTCTTAAAATTAAAATGCTTAAAATTTCGTTTTAAAATTAAGAGATAGCCTTTTAAATTCCAGCTTAAAACAGCTTACTATCTAGAAAACAGAACTTTTAAATAAGTTTTATTTCTTTAATTTTATTGGTTATCATCAAACCAATTGTGAATGTAAAAAAACAAAAACGATAGCAATAAAAATATACATATATAAGTAATTTCAAAATTGGAATTGATACTGTATTTACTATTTTTGGAACATGCACGTGCAAACATTAGAGAAAGCACGAATATAACATATAATAGTGAAATAATGTTATTATTTTATATACAAAATTCTCCAGCGTTATTTGCGATACGTGATTTCTATTTAGGTTGGTTGAGAGTAGCATTGTTTTAAACTCTTTTCGAGCCGAGTTATATTGATGCAGTTTATTTAACGCAAATTAAAACGGTAACACTACTTGAAGCCAACGGCTGATGTTTGTGTGTTCCGCAAGTAAGGTATACTGTATTATTTCTTCATTGTTACTTTCATTAAAAGTATTGTTTAGAATGTTTGATATATCGAATTGTATTAATTTTTAATTTGAATTATTATGCTATTATATTATCATTATTGAGTTTGTTATTATACTTTTTTTGCATTTTAACTTAATGTATACATTTAGGACTAACCTAAACTTCCTAAGCCGATGTTCCCCGGTGTAACAGCGGCAAGTTTACGGACTTAAAATCCGGGGCTCGTTTCCCACGGTGCTCTGAAAAACAGAAAAAGAACCGAGAAACCTAGTCGAACCTTGCGAGATATTATTGGGATTACGGCCGAAAATACCGTTAACAAAGAGAGTACCCAACAAATGAAACAATGCACTCTAATTTTCAAGTAAGAACGTAAGAAAAGTATGTTTACTTTACTTTAGCTATACTCATTATAGATTTATCGGTAATTTCGCTCTAACTAGGCAGTTTGCTCCATTTGGAAACGCATTACACATTTTACACATAAAACAACTCAATTTTACTATCGTCTTTAGTCGAGAATTTTGTAAATTGAAAAATGATATTATGGTGTTTGCTAAAAGTATGTTGCTAAAAACAAAATTATCACATATGGCTAAGTTATAGCCAGGATTTAGCTACATATCAAGTAAATTAACCATGATACTTGTAGGTAAGATTTTCTAAATATGTTATCTATTTTCTTCATAGTACTGGCTTGTTTTCACAGATGTTATTCCATTTCCTCACAGAAATAACTTGTTACCTCTTTTACGACTTTTCTACAGAATTAATTGGCTATCATAAATATTATCTTCTTTAATTAGAAGAACGGATTTGTTGTAATTATGCTTGATATGTATTTCTTCATTAGCTCCATCACCCAATGTTGGCTATCTCGATTAACGTAATTTTTGGTGTGGTAACTGGAAAGTGTCCATCGGTGTGCACGGCTATTCTAATTTAAGATTTTTACAGAGAAGGGCAGGCCTGGATTAACCATTAAGCAAAATAAGCACGTGCTTAGGGCTCCACAGAGTTCTTTCCAGTGCCGGAATTACCATGGTGCAGCTGAACTAGGGCCCCACCAAAGGTGGCCCCCACAATAAA